GTCGGCGTTGGCGGGGGGCGAAGCCTGGGGGAGCCTTAAGCCCTTCGCTCGGCTGCGCAGAGCTCTGCGTCGACAAATCGCTGCCCCACAAAGTCAGTTCGGGAGGGGGCCGCCACGATTAACCTGAACGGAGGGCTTTACTCTGGAGGGGGAAGAAGGGAGGCGACCGTGTGTCGGTATTCAAACTAGAGCTGATTATATTAGGTGGGTCAAAGAACACACATTATTTCTGACTCAAAGAGTTTTAATCGTTTGCGAAGCGATCGGTTAAAGCCGCGGCGAAGCTTGCCAGGGCCTAAAAAAAAAACTTTAAAAAAATAGCAATCACCCAAAAAAAACAATCTGCATAATTTTTTGCGTTATTTTAACCCTCTTCTGCGCGGATACCTAACGGCGTTTAACCATGCGACTCCGCATAATAATTGCCGTTATGGTTCGTGGCTCGCTGTGGCTTACGCTGCAGGTATCGGCCCCTACTTTACCCCCCCCCCCCTTCTCCTCCCTTCATCCCCAAGGGCCTCACGTGGATAGGGCGGGGGGGTCCCCATTGTGTCCGCTGTATCATTTCGGGTCCCTATTGGTACTGCCTTCCAAAGGGCCTTCCAATGGGCCGCCAACACAAGTTTGGCGGATCAAAGGGCCCTCCTTCCCTGATGAATGGGTGAAGGAGGGGGGGAGAGGGGTGAATGGGAGTGGGCGGGTATGAATGTCGGTAGGGTGGAGGGCGGCGGAGGGGGTGACTGCAGTATACTGCTGCGGGTTAGCTTTTGTCGGGTCGGACGTAACGTTGTGGTTATTAATGTGCAACGAACAAATTGAAAAATAATTTCATTTTTTTAATACAAAAAAAAAATTGTAGTTTAATACAAAACACAATTTTGTGAACCATACGTGAATGACTTTTTTTTTGCTCGAAAGATATGGTTATTGCTTGTTGTGAGGCGTATGTGCTTGCTTTACGGTGAACAATAATATGGCGTGAACAAAAAAAAAAATGGTCGTGGGGGTAAAAATTGGATTGATGGTGTTGGGGATTTTAAGGGACGCGCATTGCGAAGGGGGGGGGGGGGTCAAGTGTTGAGCGCGCAAAGTGATCCTATTCATACGGTTGTGCCGATGGGATTGGGTTGCCATTGGGGGGGGGGGAGAGAGAGAGAGAGAGCGAGAGAGAGAGAGTGAGAGAGCGAGAGAGGACAGGTCTATGGCAGGCTCCCGCTTGCCCCGCAACCCTTTTGTGCGAACAGCCGCGAGCCCCGTGGCATTTGTTTTCGCGAGCTTTGTCTCTGCTGCTGGTCCGCTGCGGCCCGCATTTGTCGCCCCCCGATGTCGCCCCGATGTCGCCCCGATGTCGCCCGAGTTGCAAACTCCCCGCCCCGCGACCCTTTGCGCGCCTGCCTCTGGCACGCGGCTGCTGTGCCACTGCGCTGCTGCTCATCTGCTGCAGGGCATTCCGTTTCGTATACACTGTGAAAATTATCGTCGTAAATTTAAAAAAAAAATTTGTAAACTTGAATTATTATTTAAGTTGTAAATTTACGACAGCACATTTTTTACTCGCCAAGAGATTTATAGTCGATACATACTGCATGTATTTTTACGATTACAAATTGTAATTTTACAACTTGCGTCAAGGAAAATTTTCCTTTAAACCTACCTACTTTTTTCACAGTGTATATACTCTGTTGGTAACTTTTGAAACAAATTACTGATTCTGCGAGTGGAGCACTATGACATACATGGCTGCACTCCTCTGCGTTGTACAAAATTTGACCGCTTCGTTATTTAGTTCAAGGAAACTATTTTAAGAAAAGCCAGCAAGCAGGTTTACAGGCAGTCTTAACGACGATTCTCTTTATTTGCAGTTTACGAGCATAGATTACAACAACGTGCGTTACCCAGCCTCCACGATGCCCTTCGAGGTCTGCCCCAAGGTGTTCGTCTCTGCAAAGGGGCTTCGCCAACACGTCTTGGTACACACTGGAGAACGGCCGTTCGAGTGCAGCGTGTGCCAGAAGACGTTCGCAAGAGCGGAATGCCTGAAGCTGCATCTCCTCATCCATACGGCAGAAAAGCCACACGAGTGCGGTGTGTGTCACAAGAAGTTCCGCGTATCTTGCCATCTAGTGAGACATCAACGCATTCACACGGGAGAGCGGCCGTACGAGTGTACCGTGTGCCACAGGGCGTTCGCGGGATCTGCCAATCTGCGGAGTCACCTCCGCACCCACACGGGAGAGAGGCCGTACGAGTGCCCCGTTTGCCGTCTCGCATTTCGAAAATATGACACCCTGTGGACTCACATGCGGACTCACACTGGAGAAAAGCGGTTCGAGTGCAGCGTGTGCCAGAAGAAGTTTTTAAAAAGTTCGGGTCTGCGAAAACACTTGGTATCTCACACTGGTGAGAAGCCATTCGAGTGCACTGCATGCCACAAGAAGTTCGCCCGAGCTGACAACCTGGCATCACATTTCCGAATCCATACGGGAGAAAAGCCATACGAGTGCAAGGTGTGCCACGAGAAGTTCAACCGACCTAGTGCTCTGGCTACACATTCACGCACCCATACAGGAGAGAAGCCATTCTCCTGCAAAATTTGCCTTCAAAAATTCGCTTCCAACACGGTACTAAAGAATCATATTTTACGCGAGTGCCAGAGGACTTTGACAGATTACTCCGCCACAGAGGCGGGTGAGCCCGTCGAGTGCACCGTGAGCGACTCTGAAGCCGACAGTCTCCGGGCGCATGTCCGAAGCCACCTCACGGGGGAGCTGCCCTACAAGTGCACCGTGTGCCACAAGGAGTTCTCTCAGTCCGGCACTCTGATGACTCACCTCCGCGCCCACCTAGCAGAGTTGCCGTGACTGCGCGCCGAGGGCAATTCTCTTCAACTTCAAACTTGAGAGGGGCCGTACTAGCTCGCCTGGTGTCAATGTAAAGCGTTTTGTAACATTTAACTATTAGTTATTTATCAGTTTCTGTGAATTCCATCACATTATTCCATTTCGTCACTTTAAAAAAATTAATTACATAGTGTAGAATTGTATGTACTGAAAAGAAATGAATGGAGAGAGAGAAGAGACAGAAGAGAGAGAGAGA